GGGGCTCCGGAAGTTTGAGCTTGAGTAGCAGTAGCAGTGGAACGAGCAGCAGCCAATCGTTGATTGAGTGGCAGCGGTGGCAGCACTGGAATCGTTCGTCGTCGAACCTGTGGGAAGTTCTGATCATTCATTTCCGGCGCCTTCTTGCGGCCGGGCTGCTTTCTTGTGGCCGGTCGATGCTTTCTTCCGGATCTCGATGTACTCGGCGCGCTTCGGGCAGGCCTTGCGAGCATTGGGTGACTCCACGGCTGACCGGCTTGTACCGCTCCCACTTCACCACAATGTTGAACAGGACGCGGATGCCTTGGAGGTCGATCAAAGTTGTTGAGTTCTTCTCAAGGTGGACCAGTTATAGCTGGTCGCGGTACTTGACGGCCTTGTTGTTGCGGGCCATCTTGTGAATTTGGACCGGCTCTTCCAAGAGGACGCCTGTGTCCATGTCGTACAGTCCTCGTGCAAAGGCCTCAAATTCCAATATCAATCTGAGGAAGAAATTAACCAGTAATAGACCCCCATACGGAAGGAGCAAATACACAACTTAACAGCAGCAGTGAAAATGTCGCACATTTCCGAGGTCAGTTGTTTATAAACAGTTGCTATCGCGTCGTCAGCTGGCTTAACTAGGTGCTTCGCGAAAGGTCGAAGTAAACATTGGTGAGTAAGCATCCTACATAGCCGTTCCTACCGCGAGGAGCATTAATTCTTGTTAAAAAAACAGACCGACTTTCCAAGAGAAAAACTATCTGTCTCGCTTTATATGTACATACTGGAGAAAAACTATTGTGTAGAGTTTAAGTAACAAATTCATGTATAAAAGGTTTCGAAAAATAAAGAATCGGGGCAGTTGTTCTGATGAGTTTATTATCCGAGGTTTGCTAGGTGCGGACGAGCACAGTTCCAACCTCAGGATAAGTGATTCATCAAAGAGCTTTTTCCATACAGTAGAAATGGAATTGCACTGTCTTTCATTTTACGGAGAAAAAAAGACCACGTGAGTTGTTGCTCTACGTTGGACACTTCAACACGCGAGTGAAACATGGATGCGCAACGGAGTATGGGCGCTTCACTCGCAGGACCACCTTGAACGGCTAAACAGCCTCGATGTCGTGGGAGAAGTACTCCACCTGTACTTGGACCAACATGGCCTGAACCGCGTTGTAATGGTTCAACGCAGGAACCATCAATTTGTATCCTTCCGCGCACAGCTGGATGGTGCACCGGACACCCTTCGTGATGTAGAAGTTTATTTTTTCCCGCAGTCCGAGAGGGAAGCCTTACACGTAGAAGGGTGGCATTCTGTCTTTTTTCGGCGGTCTTGTTGTTACCGTCACCGGTTCTGCACCGTCCTTCAGAATGGAGAACCGATTGTTGTCGAGCAGCTTCTTCGCGGCTGTCGCACTGTCACTGTTGTCTTCAGGCCTAGATCGTTTCCCGGGATTGCCGGCACTCGTGCCACCGCGTGATTTTTTACCCATGGCTGGCTCAGCAAGAGCGTCACTATTCAACGCGAGAAAAAAAACGGAACAACGCAATCGAATGAACTGGCAGCGAATGAGTTGAGGCACATTAAAGGGTGATACGGTCAAAATTTGGTCAAGGGAAAACGCGTGTAAATCGGTGAAATCGTTTATTTAAAAAATCAAATTAAATTTCTTTTTCAAGTTCAATTAGTATAAAATTCAGGAAAAATATTCAGTTAGGCTTCCGCTTTTCCAAATCCGAATTGCCGGGCCTTACGCTTGACCCCTGCCATCAGATTTTGTACAGCCACCTTGTCCACCTTCTTCGCCGCAGAAAGTCAGTTTGCCTTGAACTGCTGCTCGCCCTTAGCAGTTTTTTTGGTCTTCTTTAGGTTCCGCTTGACAATAGCCCAGTATTTCTCAATTGGGCGGAGCTCTGGCGTGTTGGGAGGGTTCTTGTCCTTGGGAACCACCTGCACGTTGTTGGCGGCGTACCACTCCATGGCCTTTTTACCGTAATGGCAAGATGCCAAATCCGGCCAAAACAGTACGGAACAACCGTGTTTCTTCAGGAAAGGCAGCAGACGTTTATTCAAACACTCTTTCACGTAAATTTCTTGGTTGACAGTCCCGGAAGCTATGAAAATGCTGCTTTTCAAGCCACAGGTGCAGATGGCTTGCCAAACCAGATATTTCTTTGCGAACTTTGACAGTTTCATGTGCTTGAAAACATCTGCTACCTTTCCCCTTCCTTTTGCCGTATAAAACTCCTGTCCCGGAAGCTGCTTGTAGTCGGCTTTGACGTAGGTTTCGTCGTCCATTACCACGCAGTCAAACTTCGTCAGCATCGTCGTGTACAGCCTCCGGGATCGCGCTTTGGCCGTCGTATTTTGTTTATCATCGCGATTTGGAGTCACTACCTTCTTGTAAGTCGATAGTCCGGCTCGTTTTTTGGCTCGATGCACGGTTGTAGACGATACACCCAGCTTATTTGCGGCATCTCGGAGAGAGAGGTTAGGGTTTCGCTTGAAACTACCGGCAACTCTCTTTGTCGTCTCAGCGGCTTCCGGTTTTCGATTTCCCCCCGATCCAGACTTCCTGGCTGTCGACAAACGTTCCCCAAACACTTTAATTACATTTGTAACGGTTGATTTGGCAACTTTTAGCGATTTTGCCAACTTTGCGTGCGAGTAGCTCGGATTTTCGCGATGCGCGAGCAAAATTTTGATACGCTGCTCTTCTTGCTTGGACGGCATTTTGACAACTGAAGAGTGAATTCCAAAATCAAAATAGGAGCAACATTCTACACACACACACCTTCAAAATGAGGGATGTTCAGGTTTTTTAAATGCAAAATTGAAAGAAATACGTCAAGTGATATTGACCAAATTTTGACCGTATCACCCTTTAGTTGAAATTCTAGTACTACAATATGTTTGTTTGGATTCGCTATGCCAGTTTGACAGATAAAATTAGGGGTTCGTGGATTTTCCTATGTTTCGAGGGGTTCATCGATTAGCTTTGGACCGAAGATAGTACCAGAGCTGAGCCAAAAAGTTGAGCACGTTTCTTCGGGACCTTCTGGTCTTAGATTTACCTCTATGGTATAACTTCCGAGCCCTCGGTTTGATGAATGCGGCTTGTTTTTCACTCCCCTTTGGCTTCTTTTGCTTCTTAAACGTCTTTATACCCATTATTGCCTTGGGCCCACGGGACGTTACTTTTCAAGGATCCCACTTTTTTAGCCACGTCTCCAACCGAAGCAATTTTCTTGCGAATGAAGGCTTGCACCATTTTCCGGTCCAGATTTCGGTCAACAGGGTTCGATTTACGTTCAGATTTTTGCTTGTCCTGGAAAGTTGCTTCATCACCATACTTCCGAATTGCGTTTCGAACGGCTCCGATGCCTACAACTTCCAATTTCACTAATTGACTCAGAGAAATGTTGGGGATAGTACACCATTTGTGCACGATCTGCTTGCGTTTTTCCGGAGAAATTCTTCGCATTGTCACGGAAATGTAAAGAACCGAATGTATCTTAAACACGAAACTGTTGGTCGAAATGTAAACAATGATTCAGCGTGATAATATCATAGAGGTAACTCTAAGACCACTGGGTCCCGAAGAAAATCATTATTATTTTTGGCTCACTCAGTACCAGAACAACGGTCCCAAGCAGTCCCAAGCTATTTCACTCACCCCTGCATGTTCTGCATGAATCCACACACCCCTGATGTTATCTGTCAAACTTTCATAGCGAATCAAAACAAACATAGTGTAGTAATAGAATTTCAACTAGAATAGGGTACGTTAATCGTTTGCTTGGGACCAATAGGCTACTTAAGTGGTGAGCCAATTTAAAATCGTTAGTTTCGTATTGATTGTTGATAATATGCTGTTAACAAGTCATCTGAAACAAGCAGGGGTATTTCAAAGTCGTGTATGGACATTCTGGGACACCTTATATACTATTTAACCATCGTTCAACAGCATAAATTAAAATTGATAAGATCATGGAAATTATCAATTTGAATTCGTATTTAAAAATAATATTCTATATTATGTCAAAACTAGTCGCTTATCAAGTTATTTTAATGTTACATGTATATGGCCTCCACATTTGGTTTTTGGTGAACGAAGAGCTGGAAATTAATATAATAATTTTGTAATTTTGGTATTAAATTTGTTCTGCAGATTCCTCTGAAAAGATTACAAGTCATAATGCGAGAATCAAAATCTTTTCAGAGGAACTGATCATTGATCATTATTTTTATTCATAAAAATTTGAAATTTGACTCCTTCTGAATGGGGTTTGGACTTTGACCTTTTTCTAACTTCTTCTTGACTTCGTCAGTTTGCATCAAATTGTTAGCATTATTTTTATTGCACTAATATGCTACATTTTTTTTCTCGGAATTTTCGTTTCATTCATTTGGAGGAATATATTTGGTAAAAACCATTTCATTTCGTTATCTCATATCGCATCTCCTTAGCTATGTGGAATTCCATTTTGTTGTATGATTGTAAATACGTTGTATGTATTAAAGTAGTTCAATTGTAAACTATCGGATCCATATAAACGCCTTTTTTGTGTTACCAATGATTTCCAAATAACTTTTTCCCATAACGACACTAAAGAAAGACACGTTATTGAACGGAAGTAATTAGAACCCCAAACATGGTAAATAGTATACCGGTGGATTTTAACACCCTCCAAGAGTGGGTTGATTGGATCAAGGGCCCCGACAGAAGATGTCTCTGCACTGCAACCCGGTCAAACCCAGGTTTGGACTCCTGAACTTGTCGACAGACAACATGAGAGTGTTTGATATTCCGCTGACAAAGGAAATGATATTTTACGATGGGTTGAAAAATAAGTGCTTTATTTGTAAATCCAAAAGATATCGACAAAGCATTCTTAAATTACGACATTCCAGCGAAAGACTGCTAACTGTTTTTTTTTTTTTTTTCATTCTACTCAAGAAACTGTTCAAATCGATAATGCACTCATGCCCGCCGACGGTAAAAGCATAAACTCACCTTTCTTGGACACGAAGCCGCACGGATGGTCGAACAGGAAATCCCGAAAGTAGTTACAGTCCGGATCGATGCCGGGCTCCTTGCACAGGCAGGTTGGCCGAAAAAACGGAAACGCCTGCAGCGTCCGCAGGGCCGCCTGACATTTGGTCACTGTCACCGTGCTGCAGGCCACTGTGGAGAGAGTGAGAGAAGAAAGGAAAGGAAAAAAGTCAAAACGTTGATTAGCGTTCAAAAGAGTAGGGGAGATTCTTTGCTTGCTCTTTCCCCATCCATCGTGTGCCGTACGGCCACGATTCACGTGTCACGCGCTTTTGCGTTTTTTTTTTACGAGTCAATGAAATTTTATGCTATTTCAAAGCTCCATTACAGGATACTCAATTTCACATCAAACGGCTGCCATGCCGCGGGGTATTCGCTGCTAGCCGTGAGCATGGGTTGGATTGACAGGGCGAACGAACGGACGACGGTCGGTGGCAACTGCCACCGATGGATCAAGCGAATTAATTTTCAATTAAAAACGACGACGATGGCGACGGCGGCGAAAAAGTGACGTTGAAATTGAGATTTTCTCAATTATACACATCAATGGGCGCCGATATGGATTAATCGCCCGAAGCGCCTGGTGGCACGTCAAGCGGACATGATGGCTTCACAGGAATGATTTGAGAAGTTTATTAAATTAGCCCGCTGCTGGTAGCAGCAGATTTGACTGGATGAACCATGGCTCAGAGTAAGACACAGACAGGCAGCACTTTAACTAATCCCACCGAAATTCCGCACTGTTTGAAGCATAAATTCTATTTAAGGGGTGTTCCCACACCCCTCTCCACCAGATCGAGAAGCAGCAAATGAAGATTTATTTTCGTCCTGTCGGTTTCAAGTCGGCAGCACTAGAAACATACTTCCTTCAGTTACATCATCCATCAGGCAGACGGTGGGCGCTCGTGCTGGAAATGTTTCATTTGTTCCTCCGAAATTTGTCATAAAAGATGTAGTTTAGCTCGGGTTTTGACGCGCCCGGCAGGGTTGCCAGATCGGACAATTGTTGTTTGTTTCGGAAATCGCCAGTAATTGTGTGATGTTGAACATCGATTTAGAATGTAGGATTTTTGAATGTTTAGTTTTTAATTTTAATATCACAATCCTGCAAACCCTAATATTTAAGCCGGCTGTTCTCGAATCGATCTTACTCAACCGCACAAGCAAGCGACATTCGTTCTGAAAGCAACTCTGATGTTTCGGGCGAAAAAAAAAAATCTACAAAGCAAAAAAAAAACGAATGTCGTGGTTCCATTTGGCGAGGTTGACGTAACCGAGAACGGGTTAAAGAAACCCAGCTCTCACAGCTAAGGTTGGTTCACCATCAAAAGAAAAAAAAAAAGCATATAAATACATTTTCCGTGTGCAGCAGCAAATTTTATGGATCAATAAAGAACCTTGAATAATTTATAAGCTTTGTAAAACCGGGACTCGGTTGGGTGGCGGTACATAGCGTTGCACGATGGTTTGTAATGGAAAGCACAGTAGGTGCTTCCTTCATTGTGCAATCATTGGCAGAGGGATGCCAGGGTGAAATACAATCCGAGTTATGGTTGCTCTAGAGCCGTCGCGGTAGAACTCGGAACCGGAAGATGTACGCTTCAAGTTCGTCGATTTCGTTCAGTTTGACAACAACGTTTACATGCAACTATTTATGGAAGTGGGTTAGTTACTCAATCGAAGGTAGTAGGAAGTAGGTTTTCGGCCCTTCAACCTTGAGTTTCGTGTTCAAGCAATGTGAATTTTATTTTCTCGGAAAAACAATTATGTTTTGCGCCTTAAATTAGCTCATTTGTGAAGTTTGCTCAATCTTGTTAATGTTTTCCCGTTTTACTTTTTGTTTTGGTTTCTCGGCAGCAAACAATTACCGTGGGTGGCAGCTTCTTCAAAACAAAAGAAAACGAAAGCAATCAGACTGGAATTCGTTCATGAATGCGAGAAAGTCTTTTTGATTTGACTAATTCAGAGACCGCTGGCAGTCAATTTGTGTAAGAAAAAAAAAACAGGCGAATAACGCTGATGGCCTTGATGGAAAATAACTTTCCTATTTACTTTTGCTGTTCGTAAAGTGTATGCAAATGTACTTTTGAACGAATATAAGATCTACAAAAACGAACCAACGGTGCCATTTTGATTTTGTATATTTGGAAGAAATTCAAAAAAAATTTGGCTACTTAGCGCAAATTTTTCGACAATAGTACTGACCAAAATGGCTCATCTAATATAAATGACATCTGACATCATAGTTGTAGAAAACTGAATTTCCTTTCCAGAAAAAGAAGCACATTGATTAAAAAATCGCAATTTTTTGAAAAAAAAAAACTGGTGAAAACTTTAATAACAAAATAGTTTCTTTTAAAGATTATGAATTTGAGATTATTTAATCAAAATTACTAACCTCTATTGTATTGGACAAAATGGATACTTGAAAATTACCCAAAATTGTAGAACATCATCCGTTATGAATTTTTTTGAATTTTTTTTGTCGCATTATTTATTAAGGGATCTGTTCCAGTAGGTGACCGGACATTAGTCATAAGTACGATTGTCATAAAGACGTTAGCCACAATATACGATAGCCATAATGTACGGTAGCCATAACAGACGTTAGCCATAATTTTGTTGTATTGAATGTTTTAATCCATTTGTAATGCAGTACCCATTATATTTTTTTTTGTCAACAAGCCTGAACAATTTGTGTTGCCAAAACCGAACGGTTTTATTTTGAAATGTCTTTTATGGTTCCGATGGTTTTGGACCACCGAAAAGTAGAGAGACATCATCTTCATGATCAAGGCTTTAATAATTTTTATTTTATTAAAAATTGTGATCGCATGGAGCGTGTATTTTCGCTCCATGCGATCACAATTTTGAGTAAAATAAAAAAATCTTCCAAATCCGTTTAAATTGAAACTCGTCACAAAATCAAACTTCTTTGTAATTTTGTTGTCAAAATGAACCATGGCAAAGTCGAACGGGTACTCTACTCACAAATATATATTTTTTCTCTATAGAAAAATGCAATGAAAAGGCACAAATAATTTCTTGCTTTGAATTGAACCATAACAGCAATTTATAAAATAACGAATATTTTGAATGGCTCGAGTGACACTTGCCTTTGATAAAAAACACGTCTACTGAGGATTCATATTTATGAAAAAATCATATATCAATGAAACAGTCATCGGTCGTCATTGAAAAGCAATGCAACTATGTTCTGTCAATCTAATTGACTTTTATTGGTTCTGTTGTCTTGTGAATTTTAGCTAAAACGGCCTCTTTTCTGATTTTTATCTCTCAATCTATGAAATAAACACGAAAACTATGTTGGAATGAAACTTCTAGAACAATATGAGAAACATTATGCCGTACACTACACATTTTTATATCATATGGGTGGAAAATTCTTAGAACAAATACTTTAAAATTCTTCACTTTTTAAGATATCTTCGAGCATGAAACTAAGTCAAATTTCAATAAAATCACTTCGAATAGTCAACCTTTGGTTACAAAGTTGATACATGACACATTAAACTTTGCTATGAAAGTTGTTACAGCAGTTTTCGTTATTTCAGTCTCGAGATACAAATATTGTAAGCCGTAAATTACCTTAAAAACATAAAATTAACTTGAAGCACCTCAAAATCATCACCGATTTTGCTGAAAATTTACACAGAAGTACAAATTAACATGACGAACAGTAATCACGGTTGACCCGTTACATTCCGAACATTTCGTTTAAAATGAACAGGTCTACTGTTCATGAATAGATATTCATAAATGAGTGAAGTGTCAGACACCTTTGCCGAATAAGAGTATTCAGTTGAGTAGCACCAAATTCATGAACGAAACGAAGAACGATGGTTGAATACAAAAAAAAAGATCACAACAGTTCTCCGAATGTCGCGTTCGATGATTGTATACAACTTTGAACTGCACATACCGTATGCGTGATAATGTTTGCACCATTGAGCAATGTTAAAATTAAAAAAAATATAAAAGATTTCGTTTTCGAGTTATTTTATTTATTCAAAGGGGGGATGTTTCTCAGAGTCTTAAACTATGTTAATCATCGATCGAGTTTCCACTTGCTGCAATTACGGCCTCTACACGCTTCCGGAATGCACGGCAGGTTCTAATAATGTAGTCTGGATCCATTTCTCTCCAGGTACGGGTCAATGTTTGTTTGAGGCTTGCTGTACTCGGGTGGCGTTTAGAACAGGCCTTGGCCTGCTTGACGCGCCATATTGAGTAATCCAGCGGATTAAGATCGGGGCTGGATGGCGGCCACATATCCTTCGCCCAGAACGGAAGATGTTCCTGCAACCACTTCTGAGTGCGGTTCGAGGTGTGGCACGGAGCCCCATCTTGTTGAAATACAACATTTGGCTTCGGACCGTACTGTTCTTTGATCCACGGAAGAACATACTTACTTAAAATCCCGATGTAGACCTCCGTGTTAACCTTGTCGCCTTCTGGAATGAACACCGGGTCCATTTTTTGCCATCGGAAGCCACCAATCCATACACCATAACGCTAGCAGGATGCTTGGTCAGATACACGTTCTTGTGCTCGTCGGCCACGTATTTTACCGGAAGAGAACTAATATTCCGATCGGATCTGGAATTTGATACGGGATCGACGGTAAACATGCTCTCATTGGTGAACAGGATTACCGGATTTTTTCGCTTAAGGAAGTTCAAGATTTTCTTGCATCGTTCGACTCGTAGCTCCCGGATGTGGTTGGTAATCATGTGAGTTTTTTTCCGTGCCCTCGACTTCCTTTACGATCTTCCGTGCCGGAAAGTCACTGATCCCGTGTTCCTTTACCATTTTCCTTATTGAACGCACTGGATTCACCCGAATCTTCCTTTTGATAGCAGAGATAACCCTCGGAACCCGAGCTGACCTCGGACGACCTGTGGCCACCTTCGCGGATAGTTGTCCTTTCTTTTCTCGGTCTAAAACCCTTTTGACGGTCCACCGGGACACTCCCACGGCGATTGAAATGTCTTTTTGCGACATTTGCGCGTGGGACAAATCACGAATACGCTGCCACTTCGTCATGGTGCAACTGTCAAACTAAGTAAATATTTTATACACAGCCTACTACGGTATGAGCTATAGGTTAC